TTTCAGCCGTCTGGAGGAGACGTGGGGTAATCTGGAAGCATTACCTCCTCTCCTAACGGAGCAGAATGAAAAGAAATCAATATCGCTGAGGAGGAGAATTTAGTAGTTTTTAAGTATAAGAGGTTGCTGGGAGAAAGTGACATGTAATAGGAAAAAAAAAAAAAAAAAGAAAGAAAAAGAAAGAAAGGTAGAAATCTATTACAGGAAGGACCGCAGAGGCTGCAGCCGGGACCCGGGGACTCCCGCGCCCGCGCAGTGCCCCGCGCTGGTGCCAATGCCCGGCGTCGAGTCTGAAGCTCGGTCTCCCCTCCGGCGCCTCCCGAATACTTACATGACCGCCTGGGAGCCGCCGACGCGTACACAGAGAGAAAATATTGGGGAAGGGAGGAGGATGGGGGAAAAAAAAAAAAAAAAAAAAAAAAAAAAAGACGGAGAAGACGGAGGAGATGTGGACCGGATCAAGGCGCGCACCGGCAGTGTAAACAGCGTGAGTGAGAAGGTGCTTTTTCTCTCCCTCCCCAGGCACGCACACACAAGCATGTGTAAGGTGTCTTCCCGGACTAATCTAATTACAAGGATACTGCAGAGACGCAGCCAGCTTGCCAGCTTGCCTTTTTTTTTCCTCTCTCTCTTTTCTTTCTTTCTTTCTTTTTTTTTCTTTTTCTTTATTCTTTTTTCTTTTTCTTTTTTTTTTTTTTTAACACAGGTCTAGGCAAATAGATAAACAAATAAATAAACAAATAAATAATTGCTGAAACACGTCGGTACAGCGGTGTCCCTCGCTCGGCTTCAGGTGAGCTCATGTCGTCGCCGAAGTGGCTCAGCCGGGAGCTCGGGCATCCCCTGCTTTGGCGTGCCCCGCAGCCAGGCCACGCACCGCTGCGCGCGGCCCCGCGGCCGCGCTGGGAAGCGCAACGCAGCGGGACGGGGAGCCGGGAAGGGGCAGCAGTGAGGTTTCAGGTAGCGCCCGACGCTTCGAGCAGACACATTTGTACCCCAGGAAGATATAACGCCAGGAACCTGTGTAGCAAAAGATACAGGCACCTGCGCACATCGACACTCTGCCTCCACCGGGCTGCACCAGCTGCCCGGCTGCGAGCAGCAGTCAACGAAATTCCCCAGTTAGGCAATAAGAGAAGCGTCCCAGGTAAACCACAGCAATGCAAAGGTGGGGATGGATGGGGATGGAAGTTTAATGACATTAATCATTATCACAGCTCGGTGGCCGCCAGGCATCGCACGGTCATTTCTGGATGGTGGCTGTTTTCATTCATCTATGCGTTTTTCTTTCCTCCCTCCTTTTTTTTTTTTTTTTTTTTTTTCCCCTTCCTTCCTCCCCCCTGCGCCTGGGGAGTTTGTTGTCTCCTTTTGGTAAATAGTTAGGCAGCTCCCAGAGGGAGGAGGTCCTCGGGGGCGACATCATCGACGCCCCCCACACCCGGTCTCGCCATCACCATCACCAGCACATCCCGGGAGGTGCGGCGGCTCYGCGGCTCTGCCAAAAGCGGCCGGAGCAGCGCGGCTCCCTGCATGGAGCCTGCGGAGAGCGGGGCAAGCGAGTCCACTTCAAGGAGCTTTTCCCCACGGAGTCATCGCTAGTGGGACAGAGGACCGCTCGATGTGGGCGAGCAGGKTTTCACTCCCGCTGATCGCTGGAGAGGCAGCGATGTCCCCGTGTAACCGCAGTGACACTAGGTGACTGAGTGGAGACCAAAGAGATTTTGGCTCTCCCCGGGGTGCGCATACACCCGCGCAACGCACCGCGTGGCCAGGGCAGAAAATGCGCTCCCTAAAATGCGCTCCCTAGCCATGCTGACCGTCACCACAGGGCATGGTCAGTCACCAGTTTAACCACTCTAGTTATGGATTTCAAAGTAGCCAATGAGACCTGTTTCTCCAGAGAGAAATCTGTCCTCCACTTCGGTAGAGCTTTCTGTTAACTGACAACGGAACCTCTTAGAGAGGTCTATTCATCTCTCTGTCTCTCTGGTTGCTGGCCAGAGAGGGGAGGCCGAGGTTTTCTCTGAGGAAAATCACCCCCAGGAAAAGGTTAACGAAAGCTACCGTAGCGTCTCAGGTCCGGGGATTGCTAATGTATATTGTAGACACAAGATGTTAGGTAGACTTGAGCAAGTTGTTCCCAGGATGTAAATTAGGTCCCAAAAGCTGTTGTCCAAATCGAAGAAACAGAGAAATTAATCTGGGAGACTATCCATCATAGCCTGTAATAAAGGGAGCGACATGGATGAGACAGATGATATGATTAAGGAGCTGTGGTCGTTTTAATTAACTTTTTGCTGTCCTGTAATGATCAAACTGGTCAACAGACCCGGTCAATAAGCATGTTAATATCAAACAAATAAAACCAGGGATGATTAAAAACCTCCCGGTTTATTAAATTTGAAATTCAAATGAAATTTATGCTGCAGATGCATACAGAATGCTAATAGATTTTAGCTTTATTGAGAATAGATCCCACAGGTTTTCAAGAAATAGCACGAACATTTATCTAGTCCCGTACATTAAACTTCAAATAGAAAGAAAAAAAAAAGTTTTAATTAATTTCGGGAAAAYCTCTCTTTGCTCCCCCCCCCMCCACCACCCCCCAGACATGCATATTATGTTGATGTAGTGCACCCTTAAGTGCAGTGGTCAATAACGCAAATGCAAACAAAATTGTAAGCTTCCTTAAATCCTTTGCCCAGCAGGCAATGTATACAAAGGGGGAAGGTTACAGATGTTTCTGTGGCGAATTCAGAAACCATCAGCTCACCGCTCTCCGAGTTCAGAAGCGGCTGCTTTTCCAGTTTCAATGAAACTATCAGAGGAGTGAAGGACGCCACCGAGAGATTTTTTTTTCGTGTGTGTATTTGCTATTCTGTTTTACGATGTTTTTGCCTTTTTTTCTCTCCCTCTTGAGTTTCCTTGTAAAGACTCCCAAGATTATTTTTTGCTATGAGGTTTTTTTTTTTTTTTTTTTTTTTTTTTTTTTTTTTTTTTTTTTTTTTTTTTTTTTTTTGTGCGAGTCAACACTATTTTAAAAGGAAAAGTGCACAGTGAACTAAAGCACTTGCAGCCCCAAATCAAAAAAAAAACAACTGCAAGGACCAAAACAAGCAAACATATAAAGATCAAGAAAGGACTCTTGTGCAGACATATGTAGACAAAATACGGGTGTGAATGGAAGACCCATGCGATGAAGCTCTTCTAAAAAGATATATCACTAATGCCTTCTTCCTTGGTGTGTGGAAAGGTCTCTCAGACTTTTCGGAGCTGAAAGGAATGCGTGTCGATCTTTTTACATAACCTGGCACACCACAAAATGCGATTTTCTGTTCCTTCAAAATATAATGCTCACAGTGCTTGTTTTGCTCTTACGCTTTCTGATCTATGTCTTAATAGTTATTCCCCACCTCCAGCAGAAAAGTAAGTAGAGGTAAAAAGTTAATRGGCATCCATACAAGGGAGTATCTCTAGAAAATGTTCTTCCCCTCTTTGCGAGTGATAATATTGATTAAATTAAACCCGAAATTTAAACAAGTGTGCATTAGGTCGGTAAAATGAATATCATTATAGAAGGAGACCAAAGCAATGAAGTTAATTCTTTTTTATTTGTTAAACAGAGTTCCCTCCTTCCCCCACCCCTTCCTCCTTCTGGGCTGGCCTGTCACGCCTTCTCAACAGGCTAAAATCATTCAGAGCAGCTCGCAGGGAGAAATGCGACATTTATGGTAACCGTCAGCCTTCAGAGAAAGAAAGCAGTTCATTAATTTACTTCACTCTTACTTCAAAATATGATAATGTACGTTACCCCCTTGATCAATAGATATGATGTACAGTCAATACCCCCACGACATTAAACTGGATCAAAAAAAAAAAAAAAAAAAACGAGAGTGAGAGAAAGAAGAGCAACCCTCCAAGAAACAAAAGCCCACGTCAGCTTCACTGCATTAAAACTTTCTGGGCGGAGTGTACCTGGCGGGATAGCGGCTGCCCGGCCCTTCTGGGGCAGGCAGTGACCCGGCGCCGGCCTCGGCGGGGCGGGCAGAGGAGCCGTGGGCCGGTGGCGGCCCCACAACGTTCCGTGGGGCTGGTGCGGAGCAGGAGATCCCCGAAGGCCGTTGCACTGCTGCCCTTGGCGTTTTGGTGCCATTCGAGGAGCACTTGCCGGCCGCAGTGTCTCCTCCTCGGAGTTCTCTCCTGCGGAGGCTCCGAATCTTTATCCCTGCATCCACGATACTGACGGCACTTAAAGCTACTTTGCTATTCAAGATTCTCTCTTAAAACAGGAGATATTTAAGAGACGATTGGGAGAAGCCATCTGAACCACTTCCCTGCGTACTGCGAACAGATAAGATGTGCTGAACGAAATGGAAGGCGGGGGATCAAAGAGACTGCAGGACAACCTGTGGACATACAAGGTGCTTCCACTCTCTCCTGCAATTGCCAAAATAGTCATGATAAGGTGACGATAATATATATATTATATTAAATATATATAATATCTTTTGTATATATATAATATATATGTATGTGTATACATATATAATTTAAACAGTCCAGAATAATTCCAAACTCAGGGAGAAAAACCTGTTGTCAGATTATGTGCTGATCGGGAGACCGCGGGGTGTCGGAAAGGGCAGCAGGGGATTAACCGGTTCTAGGCAGGAAAGTCCGAGCTGGGTGACAAACACCTCCCGGACCGCAGAAAGGGGCCGCCACGGCGGAGCGCAGGGCTCGGTGCGGGCCGGGGCCGGGGCGCGGTGGCCGGCCGCGTTGCTCGACGGCGCTGATGACCTCACGCAGTCACGTCGCGGAGCGGCGCGGCGGGGCCCGCGATTGGCTGGCGGCGGCTCAGCGGCACTTCAAAGCCGGAGAGGGAGCTACAATTGTGGTGGAATGGGCGGAACTGATCATTGTATTGCACACCTCTAAAAAAAACACTGCCTCTGATTTATCAATATAAAAAAGATCCTCTGAGAGGAGGGCACTTTTGTGTGATGGCAACTTCACTTCTAGGGGTGAGTCTAAGGATTTTTTCTCTTGCTGGTTTAATTAGTTTCTTTTTATTGTCGATTGGAGGGGGTTAAAATCACCCCTGTCTTGACCGGGGCTATCAGTCTCCTCTATTGAGCCTTTTTTTTTTTTTTTTCCTTAAGTACAAGTGAGTTTAGGAGAAAAGAAAGAGAGAGAGGGGGAAAAGGGGGCAGAGTCACTTTTCAGTTAGCAGGAAAAGGTTTTAAGGGCATTTGTAGAAACAACTTACAGAGCCTGGGCTGTGCTGTTCCTGTGCCCCCGGAGAAGCGGCCTTTCTTCTTTACATATGACTGCTAGAAGGAAAAAAAATCAAGCCTAGCACTCTCATTTTTCGTGTGCAATTTCTAAATTTGCAGCAGTTTTTTCTTTACTTATTATTTTCACTTAAAATAACACAGCTCGCCGTGTCCAGCAGGTACGTTAAACTTGCGTCTACATGCATCTGTACGTGTGTTAAAATTATATTTAATTATTTTTGGGACGTAAATAAGTCTGTTTAAGGAAGAGGKTTTTTTTCCCATGTTTTTAAATTTTTGTTTATTTTGTAATCGTGCAATTATTTTACTTAAGAAAACAGTCTTTCTTGCCTGAGGAACGGGAACGGGCCAGTTCCTGAGCAAAGAGAAGAAGCTATGCGACCGTAGTCGCATCCGTGCTGCGGGTGTATGTAGTGTGGGGGGGTCTTTAGGATAAGCGAAACAACTTTTCCCCTTCCCCCCCCTTCCCCATTTTAACCCTTTCCGAGCAGCTGCGCGGGAATTTTCCTGCTGCAAAGTGGAAGGCGCCGGGAGCCCCGCGCCGCGCTGCCGGCTCCGTCCCGGTGGCGGGACAGYGCGGGTGGCGGGACGCTGCGCGAGGCGCGGGCAGCGGGGCTGCTCCGAGGCTGATGCCGGTGCCGCGCCGCTCTCCCCCTCTGTGCCCGCAGGAAGAGCCGCGGGTAGGCTCCACGCCGCTGGCCATGCTCGCCGCGACCTGCAACAAGATCGGCAGCCCCAGCCCCTCGCCGTCCTCCCTCTCGGACAGCGCGTCGTCCTTCGGCAAGGGCTTCCACCCCTGGAAACGCTCCTCCTCCTCGTCGTCGTCCTCTGCGGGCAGTTGCGGCGCCGTGGGCTCCGGCCTCGCGGGCTTCGGCGTGGCGGGCGCGGGGCGCGGC